GTGTGTGTGTGTGTGTGTGTGTGAAGGACACAAGTCTGGAGGACAAGTTCATGCAGCTGTAACTGCATCTGGATTTTAATTGAACAATTCATTTTCTAAAGACAAGGTTATGCTAGCAACAAACAAACAAAAAGACAATATTGAATACGATATAGTCATTTTACTTTTAATCACAGAACCTCACTGTGAATATTTCTTTGATTAAATCAAAAGCAATTTAACTTTTTTAAGATTTTAACTTGGGTGCGTTTGGAGGGTGCTGACGTCACGGCCATGGCACCGAGATCTCTCGACGTTGCTAAGCAACCACAGCATTCCTCCATCCTCCATCTTCTACAGAATACAACATGAACACGAAAAAACACGCGAACACGCCTGCAGCCACTGAGAAAACTGCGTTCAGCCCTCTTTATATACAGTCTATGGTTCAGCCACCATTCCCCGGAACTCTGTTTTTAATTTTCTGCGCAGAGTCGCGACAAACAACCCGTGAAATCACAGCAACGTTCACCGCTGCGCTCCCAACGAAGACGGACACGGAACAGACAAAGAGGAGCCGTCGTGTTTGAACGCGGCGTGAAGTTCCCGGCTACACGCCCGACGTGTTTCCTCACCCAAGGAGACACGAGTGACGACGCTCTCTTACCTTCGAGTAGCCGAGAGATGAGGCTGTCTAAGTTCAACTCGCTCTCCGCCATGTTTCTCTTACGCAGGCAGCGCAGAGGTGGGGGCAAGATTCAGCCCCGAGCGTTGACTGGCAGGCTCAGAGAGCAGCGTGGAAGGCACATGTACAACTTCAGGGTATTTGTGTGTTTATTTTTTTATTTTTTTTTTATTTTACTGAAATTACAGAAAGAGAGCTCAGCGCACTGCAGATTAGGAAAACACATGCAAATATAAAAACAATCCTTGTAAGGTTTCCACCAGTGTGATCATCTAAATTGTACGGATTGTTTCTTAATGGGCCCTTTATATTTGAGTACTTTATCAAATCAAATTTTATTTGTATGGCCCAAATTCACAAAACCTCCATCACTTCCATTGACGAGAAGACACGTGACGATTAACTTGGTTATTGTAGAGTTTTAATTTTGTCAATAAATAGAAATGATAAAATAAAATGTGCAAAGTTCCTGGATTTCAGTCAGTTGCATTTGGAAAATTTCACAATCTCTATGCAGTACAAAAAAAATGACACATAATTTACATACTTAAGTATAATTAAGAGATATTTTTTGAACTAGCATTGAATTATTTGAGTACTTGAAACAGTACTGCCAGTTCAACAGATAATTTACATACTTGTCTACAGCTCTTTGCAGGTTTTATTCCTTTACTGTGTTTTTCCTACATATTATTTCCTATGTGCTGAGCCACAGTGGTTCACACCCTAAAATAAAACTGAACTGCTGCTGCCACCTCTCAGACAAGGTGAGAAACTGACAGAATAAAAACAGAGAGCAAACAAGCAGCAGAGTCAAACTTTTGGCAAAACATAAACCCACAGATGATTCTGATAAGAGGTGATGGACCAAATATTGGCCTGAATTGAACAAGTGGCAAGAATGAAAACCCTAATGTTCGATCAATGTGGCTGTTTTTACTTTTTACAGTCTGTCCTCTTCAAAAATTATCTTATAAACGATGCTTAAAGCAGCTTCAAGGCTTGAACTACTGTTGACAATGAGAATGTTGGTATTAAAAGTTGGTTGCATTCATTTCCACTCCTCTCCGCACTTTGTTTTTCGGTCCTTGACAGCAGGAGAACAGCAGCCAGGCGACGGTGATGCCAGCCAGTAAACTGACGACTCCCGCGACCACTGGCACCCACACGGGCAGGGAGGAGGGACACTCCACTACAGGGGTGGCTGATGTAGGACTGGAGATAGGTGGGAGGGTTACTGGAGGACGTGGAAGACTGTTTTTCTTTGTGAAGACAAAGGGACTGGCCTGTGGGGAAGGTAAAACAGTTATAATTTTTTAAAATGTTCAACTTTCAAAAACAGGCCCATGGTGTTTTGATGTTTAATAAATAAGAGTTTACAAAATAAGTCAACATACGGATCGAAACACACAAAATATGTAACAGATATGTTTTTAAAACCAAGCAACCAAATATTTATGAAATGTTATATAATATTTATTTGTGGTCTTTTTTTATTTCTTTTCAGTACTTTATATTTAAAGTTAACTAATTTTTTTCAAATTTGATATTTTTATTTTCATAATTTCCTTTTATTTTGTCATGTCAAGTTAATTTTCCCAAGAATAGTTTGGTTAGTCCCAAGAACAAGCAGAATGAAGTAGTAATTCATAAAAACAAAATAGCAATAACACACTAATCTACAAAACAAACAACATTGGATCCAACATTGTTGCATTATGCACAAACAAAACTATATATTAATAATATATTTCCATAAAATGTATTTATGTCATTTCACACTTTCAGTCTCCACAAAAGTTAAACCAATTGATTATTGAAATCTAACCTGGGATAGAAAATAAAAAGGTCTCATTGACTGACTGATGGGTTTCAGTCTGAACTCTCCACACATACCTGAGACGGACAGTGAATCTTGGAGCGATCATACGTGAAGTTATTGTACGGCTGCTTCCTCCCGACGGGCTCCAGCTGTTAAAGACAGAAAGAGGAATTCTCTCAAATCAATATTGCTTGAAAACACTGGTCTCTCTGCTTCACTTTGGTCCACGGTGCCCAGCACTCACCATGTTGTTCCAAAGGGCGATGGCCATCTCAGCGTGAGCTCGCTCACTGATGTGGAAACAGTCGACGGAGAAGAAACTGGGGTCGGCCTCTCCCTTCTAAAGAAAAGATAATATTTTCAGCTTGAGCATGTTTTATTATTTGCGTGTGGATGCTTGTTTTAATACGTCGGCCTCTGTAACTCACTCCAATATGAGGGATGAAGGTATTGTGTAGAAATGGTTGAAGGACGACGGCAAAATCCTCCTTCCCCTCATAGCGATCTCCAGAAATAAGATGCTGGATCTCAATCTAGGCATGAAATTCAAATCTTTTAATAAAAATGATAAATTACAGCTAAGATTAATTTGCTTATTATCTGTTTTTTCTCGAAATATTATTAGAAAAGCTTTTACCTGGTACTCCTGATTGATTCGTTTTATCTCTTCAAGCTCTGGGGAGTTTTCCGCTGGGTTTATGAGACAGGGACAACTGTTCCTGCAAAAAAAACCCTTGTTAGTTTAAAGGGTGAACTAAAGTTTGAAATGAAAAAATAAGACGAGGATATAGTGTTAACGTTTAACTCTATAGCATCTTTCTAATCCAAGTGAAATCTAGTGGAAACAAGTGCAGCGCAAAAATCCCCCCCTCCTTATTTTCAACTTTTTTAAGCTTTTGTGAAGATTTTATGGATTTTTCTTGACTTGTATTATTCTCATAAGTCATTCTTTATAACCTGTATAAACATACAGCTATATCACCAAAGAAAGGATCTTGGAGACGTTGTATGTACTGATATTGTACATGATTTAAAAGATAATGGAAAACAGGCCAGAAACATCCAGTCAGATTAAAACCAAACAAACCTGGGCAGTAGAGAACAGGGCAGTGAAGTCCTCTTAACTGTTCTCAAAGGAAGTATCTCCAGAATTTCCACAACGTTGACCAACAGTCTCGGTACCTGAAGAGTCCGAGAGATAAAGGTGTAGCACAGACAGTAAAATACGATCCACTTGTAAAGATTAGAGATGAGATGAATTTAATATTGTTAATATGACTCACCTCTTTGTGGAGCATGTCCAAACCAATCATAAGATTGTGGCTGTAATTCTTAGGTGACAGATTATTCTGTGGAAATATGTAAAGAATGTTTTTATTGCTATTCCAGAACTTGCAGAAATGAATATGTTTGTGTAAAGTATAAAAAAACATTAAGGAGCACTTACTTGGTCTACGCAATAATGGCAAAGATCGTTTCCCCCGACAAATATGGTTACAAGTTTCCAGTCGTTTTCAAAATTCACCTTCTGTGTAGGATTTATGTGGAACATCAGAGTTAAGATTCACACTGTGTGAGTCAGACGTGGAGAGAGTTCATTTGTATTTGAGGAAGACTCACCTTATCCTCTCTCATGGCCTTGATGAGAGCCTGCACTTGTGCTGGAATGTCTCTGTGCAGAACAAACCCAGACAGGAGGAGGTGAGAAATAACAACGGGTGGTTCGGAGGTTTTACTTAAACGGAGCAACCAAAAAGAAATGTGCACTTACGAGGTCTTAGCTCCAGGTGCAGCCATGTTGAAGCCCTTCTTTTTGACCAGACCCTGATCTGTAGAGAAGCCCTTCAGGGACGGGTTGAACTTCCTCAAGATGTCTGAGGGGAAACCAAGGACAAATATCCTACTTAGAAACAACTTGTCTAAAGCTACCTGAACATGAGTAGCAGTGGTTTCAAGAAGTTATCATTCATGAAATCATTGAAGTTTTTTTGCCAAACAAGCGACATAAACTCACTAGGAAGTGTTGTGACATTCCCCAGATCCATATCCCCCCCGATGCTGCAAGAAAAACCCAAACAAACATTGCTGTGGTTTGTGAAATAGAACAATTACCGTGACTGTTATTTACACCATCAAGACTCATTTTACCTCCATGATACTCCTTTATATTCGTTTTTGAGGTTAAAGTAGCTCTTTGCTTTCGCTCCGGTGCCGACCTGTAAACAGAACCAGCCACAGACAGATAGGTGAGTCGCAGATGGAGATTAAAAAATGACCAGAACATAAAAGAGAAGTTCATCACTGATGGGAATTATCTGGCTGATAAGGAGTTGATTAGAGAGTTCATAGTTCAATGACATCAAATAACCGATATCAGCGGGTTCACTAATGGTGATAAATGTGTAATGTGTCCATTCAACACACACATACTCCAGATTTTATATAAAGCGCACAATAATTACCTGTTAAGCATGTATTTAAAGATATTTGATACTTTCTAATATCTGTCCAGCTGTTTTGTACATCACATATTCTTAAAACGTTTTAAAAATAGCTTTC